GCGAAGTCTGCCAGCTCATCCATCAAAAGTCCCGGTACTGCCAGCGAAGTCGTCGGTTCCAACAAAAACTATGGTGGTGGTGGTGGTGTCGTCGTGGTCGAGATCTTCTCGAAGCTGAGGAAGGCACGGTTGCTTATCTGAGCCGGTTGCTCTGGTTAGCGAGGTCACGATCAATCGAGGCAGCAGTCGAGTGTGATAAGGGTTACAGGCTGGCCTTGCCACAAGGGGTCACCCGCCTGCGGGACACTGACCCTTCTCTCCAAGTCGACTCTGCCCTCGGTACCTATTTAAGATCCAATCAGTCTCACGAGTTGATAGCTGTAGCCTTGGCTAAACCAGCGGTGAGCCAATCTGGCATACCCAGGCCACCTTCGGGCAAGGGTATACGTAGGCAAGGGAGGGCTATGCACTTCGGTGCTGACACTTGCCGTTTCACTCGCCAATCCTGTCCCTTCGGTAGGGATTGCCGTTATCGTAAACATTTCGGCGACCCCCAATCTAAGCCTTATTGGCAGAACGGTCAAGGTGGGGAGAAGGACAGTAGCTTCGGGTCTGATAAACGCCCTAGGACTGGGCAGGTGAAGGATGAACCATCAAGGAAGAACCCTAAGGACCAATAGCTGCGGCATTGGTTTGGTGCCAATCCAACACTGTTGAAGCTGAGTTTCCGGCATTTTCCGAAGTTTGATTATCACGTAGTCAAAACTGGTGGCTGTTGCGTTGCGTCAGTGCCGTTCCTAGTGGTCATAACATCATAAATGGAGCGGAGGAAACGTCGTTCTCGGAACGACTGTCGTTCAGTTTGGTTCCCACTCAACAAAGAGACTCTTCTTTGGGAAATGCCACACGTGAGGTCTACCCAAGCGAAGAAACAGCGAGATAGGGGCAGAAAGTTGGGCAGCAAGCCTGAAGATCACCCTTGGAAGGCGTCGACCCAGGAATTATCAGCCGCAGCGGTGGAGACTCTCCACTGGAGAGAAAGCCTCGAGATGGCTCCGGGTACTCAGGGCAGTGGGACAAGTTCGAGTTTCGAGAATCTGAGCTGCCAATAATAGAGAGTACTTCTGGGATTCTAATTAAGCACACAGAGAGGTTCTGTGCGGCCCGAAAGGACTTCTTAGAT